ACTGGCTCTGTGAGTGTGTCATGCAGCAGAGCCTCTGCCTCGGTTCCGGACTGCCTTCCCCCAGACATTTGCGGAGAGAAATAATCTTTTATCTTTTTAAGTCACTGGTCTTTTCAATATCACTTGAAGCTAAACCTAATTCCTAATTAGTACAAAATTTAAGAAAATGTGGAGATATAGTCTCCCTACCCTTTCTTTTATAAAACTAATAGAATATTGCGTAATTCAATACAGTGGTCCATCCGCGGGCTCCGCATCCGCGGGCTCCGCATCCGCGGGCTCCGCATCCGCGGGCTCCGCATCCGCGGGCTCCGCATCCGCGGGCTCCGCATCCGCGGGCTCCGCATCCGCGGGCTCCGCATCCGCGGGCTCCGCATCCGCGGGCTCCGCATCCGCGGGCTCCGCATCCGCGGGCGGGGCGCATCGGTCAAAATGCCTATATTGGTTGCGTCTCTACTGAACACGTACAGACTATTTTTCTTGTCATTATTCCCTAAACCACATAGCATAACAACTATTTGCATAGTGTTTACATTGGATTAGGTGTTATGAGTAATGTCGAGATGATTTAAAGTATATGGGAGGATTCTGTAGGTTATATGCAAATACTATGGTGTTTTATGTAGAGGACGTGAGCATTCCCAAATTATGGTATGGGAGAGGGAATTCGGAGTGGGATTCGTGCCCGTATAAAAGAAGCCCCAGAGAGAGCTTCCTCATCCCTTTTACCACGTGAGGACGCAGCGAAAAGACACTGTGTATGAACCAGAAGGGGGCTCTCACCAGACGCCGAAGCTGCCGGCGCGGTGATCTTGGACTTTCCGGCCGCCAGAACTCTGAGAAATAAATGGTGGTTTATAAGCCACCTAGTTTAACGTATTTTTAGTAGGGCAGCTGAAACAGACTAAGACGTAGTGTCAACCTCGTTCCTCACGGTCAGACCTCTATCCTGTCTATGTCAGTCTTTGGGGAATCTCGTCCTGATTGGTCGCTGAAGTAAATCCCCTGGGTTTCAAATAGAGTCCATCTTGCCTCCATTGTGCAGCCGCCACCCATCTTCTCGTTGTTAATTGAGACTTGTCCCCCAACTACCCAACCAATAGTTACCTCTTCATTTGCCTCTTTGAAATCAAGACTAAGCCACACTGGACTTTCAAGGGTCCCCATCTTGGTAACCAACAGGCCCAGGGAATGCATATGGAGAATACTCTGCGGAAATCAAGCCCAGACCTTGAATGAAAATCTGTATATTAATTGAAATTTATAGTCATCGTCATTTAGTCAGCTTTTTCATTCAGCTTTTTTATTATTCATTTGATGTTTTGAAAATTCCAGTAATTATTTCTACAATGAATATGGATACTACATAGTACTTTGGTGTTATCTATTTTTTTTCAAAGATTTTATTTTTTTTCTTTTTCTCCCCAAAGCCCCCTGGTACATAGTTGTATATTCTTCGTTGTGGGTCCTTCTAGTTGTGGCATCTGGGACGCTGCCTCAGCGTGGTTTGATGATCAGTGCCGTGTCCATGCCCAGGATTCGAACCACAGAAACACTGGGCCGCCTACAGTGGAGCACGCAAACTTAACCACTCAGCCACGGGGCCAGCCCCTGGTGTTATCTATTTTTAACAAATAAAGTCTTTGGCGAGGGTGCCCATTCTTGTCACTCTTATTCAACATAGTACTGAAGGTTTTGGCCAGAACAATTAGGCACGAAAAAGAAATAAAAGAAATCCAAATAGGCAATGAAGAAGTGAAGCTCTTGCTGTTTGCAGATGACATGATCTTATATATAGAAAACCCTAAATAATCCATCAGAAAACTATTAGAAATAATCAACAACTACAGGAAAGTTGCAGGATACAAAATCAACTTACAAAAATCACTTGTGCTTCTATACTCTCGTAATGAGCTAGCAGAAAGAGAACTCAAGAATATAATCCCATTGACAATCACAACAAAAAGAATAAAATACCTTGGAATAAATTTAACCAAGGAGGTGAAAGACCTATACAATGAAAACTATAAGACATTATTGAAAGAAATCAACGATGACATAAAGAAACAGAAAGATATTCTGTGCACATGGATTGGAACAATAAATATAGTTAGAATGTCCATGCTACCCAAAGCAATCTACAGATTCAGTGTAGAATTCATTCAGAAGCCCAATGACATTCTTCACGGACATATAACAAAGAACATATGGGGCAACAAAAGAGCCCGAGTAGCTAAAGCAATCCTGAGAAAAGAGAACAAAGCTGAAGGCATCATAATCTCTGACTTCAAAATATACTACAAAGCTACAGTAATCAAAACAGCATGGTACTGGTACAAAAACAGACCCAGATCAGTGGAACAGATTTGAAAGCCCAGAAGTAAAACCACACATCTAGAGACAGCTAATCTTCAACAAAGTTGCTAAGAACATACAATGGAGAAAGGAAAGTCTCTTCAATAAACGGTGTTGGGAAAACTGGACAGCCATATGCAAAGGAATGAAAGTAGACCATTATCTTTCACCATACACAAAAATTAACTCAAAATGGATCAAGGACTTCAAGGTAAGACCTGAAACCATAAAACTCCTAGAAGAAAATATAGGCAGTACACTCTTTGACATCAGTCTGGAAAGGATCTTTTTGAATACCATGTCTACTTGGCAATGGAAACAGAAGAAAAACAGGTGGGACTTCATCAGACTAAAGAGCTTATGCAAAGTAAAGGAAACCAGGAATAAAATGAAAAGACAACCCAACAAGTGGGAGAAAATATTTGCAAATCATATATCCAGCAAGGGGTTAATATTCAAAATATACAAAGAACTCACACAACTCAACAACGAAAAAACAAATAACCTGATCAAAAAATGGGCAGATAATATGAACAGATATTTTTCCAAAGAAGATATTCAGATGGCCAATAGGCACATGAAAAGATGCTCAACATCACCAATCATCAGGGAAATGCAAATCAAAACTACGCTAAGATATCACCTTACACCCATTAGAATGGCTATAATCACAAAGACCAAAAACAACCAATGTTGGAGAGGGTGTGGAGAAAAGGGAACACTCATACACTGCTAGTGGGAATGCAAACTGGTGCAGCCACCTTGGAAAACAATATGGAAATTTCTCAAAAAATTAAAAATAGAAATACCATAGGACCCAGCTACCCACTACTGGGTATTTATCCAAAGAACATGAAAGCAACAATCAAAGAGACTTATGCCCCCTATGTTCACTGCAGCATTATTCACAATAGCCAAGAGGTGGAAGCAACCCAAGTGCCCATCAAAGGATTAATGGATAAAAAAATATGTGGTGTATACATATGCAATGGAATACTACTCAGCCATAAAAAAGACAAAATTGTCCCATTTGCAACAATATGGATGGACCTTGAGGGTATTATGTTAAGCAAAATATGCCAGACAGAGAAAGACAAATACTGCATGATTCCACTCATATGTGGAAGATAAACAAACACACAAAGAGAACCGTTTAGTGGTTACCAGAAGGGAAGGGGGCCGGGGGGTGGGCAAAAGGGGCAAAGGGGCACATATATGTAGTGACTGACAAATAATAACGTACAACTGCAATTTCACCATGTTATACGCTATTATGACTCCATTAAAATTTAATAAATAAATAAATACAGTCTTTAGTTCACTTGGTGAACTGTTTATCAAAAAACACAAAAAAGAGCCAAAAACCACCAAAGAGGTGGTCTTTGATTTTCAATTTAACAAGATTGCCTGACTATGTTACATGGAAAAACATTCTTCCTTTGGATACCTGGGCCTCCAAACCCACTGAATCCAAGGTTATAGAGCTAGAAAGGGAAAATTCTGAAAGTGAGCTGTAAGGAATAATGAGAGAGGCAGTTCTCACTTCTACTCTTTGGTTCTTAGATGCCTGGATCCTGACTATGAGGCAGATACTCCACAGAGTGGTCCCTGGGTTAGGGCGTATCCTGCACTCTCTGGGAGAGCACCTCAACTTTCAGTGGGTCTTTCCACCATCCCTTCAAGCCAGTTGCTTCTAGGTGATGAGGCGTGTGCTAAGACCAACAAACTCTGAGAGCATGAGCCCACCGTTGCACGTCTTTACCATAAAATGTGAGTCTGGTCAAGGTCAGTGCTGAATGGGTCTTTCTGGTGACCAGCCCCCACCCAGGAGCCGTCTAGCAGCCCACCCAGAGCTGCCTCAATAGAACAAAAGATGCTCCAAGTGCTCTTATCACTTTACAAGGGAATTACAAGGGTTTTAGGAGCTCTGTGCCAGGAACAGGGGGTAGAGACCAATATATATATTTTCTATTATCTCACAGATACCATGATGAAAGATAAACCTTCCTTAAGTAAACGAATGCGGGAAGAAGCATTGTGAGAAGAGAAAGCAAATCCATAACTTGAATATGTATTTATGCTTTAAGACTAAATTGCTGCCACCTCCATGATAAAAGGGCTCTCATGTCAACAACCTGCCACCAGGTTCCTGCTGATCCCTCCAGGGAATGGGGCCATATTAGGAAATCACCCCCGGCCTCTACTAGTGGTGGGTTGAGCATTCAAGCCGCAGAGACAGCCAGATCATCTGGGTGCAGGGAAGTCGCTGCTGCCATGCTCTTGCTGTACTCTGTCCCATTGAGAAGCAAAGGAATGGCAAGGGAGAGAGGTTGACTCACATGCACAGAAAGGATTGTCTTGTACTCCTGATTATTGAGAAACTTGTCTGCCATGCATGACCTTTGGCGAGCATTCACACAGGCCAAAAATGTTTTCTCCTTCTGCGCCTATTCATTTGACATACCTCTTCCCCAGATTTCTTTGTCCCTAATCTTCCCATGTTTTCTTTCCCTGACAGGCAGTCATTGTCCGTAAATTAAGATTGACCCATACATCAGGCCATTTCTCCTCCCATGCAAAGTGGGCAGCCACATGTCTACCTGATGTTCTGCCCACTGGGAAAATTTCCCTTTGCCTCACTTTCTGGGCCATCTCTGAGAGAGGCTGAATGCAGTGACCGTCCCCACTGCTGGAGCCAACACCCCCCCAGGCCCATCTGTATACCAAGCTTGTGCCTCCTCATCTCTCCACTGTTCATAGGGAATCCCCACTCGGCCTGAAGTGTAAGTTGAATGAGAGGTAGCAACGAATCAGCCTAGGCACCGCGGCAGTCTGAGCCACCTGATCATGCAGTCACTTGTGTCTTGCCAAGTAAGTAAGCTGGTTTTGGATATTCCATTCCCATTGAATGCTGGAATGCTGCTGCTCATGTCCAATTTTACAATTTTGGGGGCCAGATAACATCCAGTTCATGAGGGGTACTTTGCCATCCACAAATAGTCACAGTTTCACTTCTTCCTTTCCAATTTGGATCTCTTTTATTTCTTTTTCTTGCCAGATTGCTCTGGCTAGGACTTCCAATACTATGTTAAATAAGAGTGGTAACAGTGGACATCCTTGTCTGGTTCCTGTTCTTAGAGGGATAGCTTTCAGTTTTTCTCCATTGAGAATGACATTTGCTGTGGGTTTTTCATATATGGCCTTTATTATGTTGTGGTATTTTCCTTCTATACTCATTTTGAGTTTTTATCATAAATGGACGCTAGATCATGTCAAATGCTTTCTCTGCATCTATTGAGGTGATCGTGTGATTTTCACTCCTCATTTTGTTAAAGTGGTGTACCATATTGATAGATTTGTGGATGTTGAACTATCCCTGCATCCCTGGAATAAAACCCGCTTGATTATGATGTATAATCTTTTTAATGTATTGTTGTATTCAATTTGCTAGGATTTTGTTGAAGATTTTTGCATTGATGTTCATCAGTGATATTGGCCTGTGATTTTCTTTTTTTTGTGTTGTCCTTGTCTGGTTTTGGTATCAGGATAATGTTGGCTTCGTAGAATGAGTTAGGAAGCCTCCCCTCCTCTTCAGTTTTTTGGAAGAGTTTGAGGATAGGTATTAAGTCTTCTTTGAATGTTTGGTAGGATTCACCAGGGAAGCCATCTGGTCCTGGACTTTTATTTCGGGGGAGGCTTTTGATTACTGTTTCACTCTCCTTACTGGTGATTGTTCTATTCAAATTCTCTACTTCTTCTTGATCCAGTTTTGGAAGGTTGTATGATTCTAAGAATTTATACATTTCTTCTAGATTATTCAGTTTGTTGGCATATAGCTTCTCATAGTATTCTCTTATAATCTTTTGCATTTCTGAGGTGTCCATTGTAATTTCTCCTCTTCCATTTCTGATTTTATGTATTGGAGCCTTCTCTCTTTTTTTCTTGGTGAGTCTAACTAAAGGTTTGTCAATTTTGTTTATCTTTTCAAAGAACCAGCTCTTGGTTTCATTAATTTTTTCTATTGTTTTTTTAGTCTCTATTTTGTTTATTTCTGCTCTGATTTTTATTATTTCCTTCCTTCTGCTGATTTTGGGCTTTGTTTAGTCTTCTTTTGCCAGTTCCTTTAGGTGCACTGTTAGATTGTTTATTTGGGATTCTTCTTGTTTGTTGAGATAGGCCTGAATTGTTGTAAACTTTCCTCTTAGTCTTAGTCTACAATCTCACTATTGCATTTGAGAAAGAAAATTATGATATAATCGTTCACTCACAGGTTCAAGTAACAAGCTACTTTTGCTGTATCCCATAGATTTTGGCATGTTGTATCTTCATTTTCAGTTGTCTCTAGGAATTTTTTAATTTTTCCTTTGATTTCTTCATTGACTCAATTGTTGTTCAGTAGCATTTTGTTTAATCTCCACATTTTTGTGGCTTTTCTGATTTTCTTCCTGTAGTTGATTTCTGGTTTCATACCTCAGTGGTCAGAAAAGATGGTTGGTGTGATTTCAATCTTCTTAAATTTATTGAGACTTGTTTTTTGGCCTAATATGTGATGAATCCTGGAGAACGTCCCATGTGCATTTGAAAACAATGTGTATTCTGTGGTTTTTGGATGGAATGTTCTTTATATACCTACTAAGTCCATCTGGTCAAATGTGTCGTTTAGGGCCAGTGTTTCCTTACTGATCTTGTGTTTGGATGATCTATCCATTGGTGTAAGTGGAGTGTTAAAGTCTGCTACTATCATTGTGTTACTGTCTATTTCTCCTTTTATGTCTGCTAATAATTGCTTTATATATTTAGGGGCTCCTATGTTGGTTGCATAGATGTTTACAAGTATTATATCCTCTTGTTAGATTGTTCCCTTTATCATTATGTAGTGCCCTTCTTTGTCTCTGGTTACAGTTTTTGTTTTAAAGTCTATTTTGTCTGATGTAAGTATTGCTACCCCTGCTTTCTTTTCTTTGCCATTTGCATGGAGGATCTTTTTCCACCCAGAAGGCAAACTTTAATCACTTGACCTGGATCTTAACCAGTTTAGCGTGAAATATTTTGCTGTTCTAAGAGAGAAATGAAGTGACTTCTTCACACAGTGGAAGATACAATAGCTAAACTATGCTTTAGTTTTAGGAAATAAAATTGTGCTTATCTACAAGTATCAAAGACTGTTGTTAAATTAAAGAGAATGATTGAGGTTGGAGAAACACTTGTCCCACTTGTCTGTAAGACTTTTGTTTCTCTTTGGAAAGCAATTATGGTACTGGTGCAAAACATAAATATTCTGGAAGTATGTAATATGTGTCAAGGGAGCAATAGCAAGGTTAAAGAGAGAGAGTAAATGGCGTAATGAGAGTGTTTCTAAGTTTTACTCAGAAGTCGTCCCTTTTCTATGGTCTTTAAATCAACTTCCAACTTCTGCCTATACTACCTTTTGGATCCACAAAGAGGGGTGTTGAGACATTAAAATGTTTTCAATTATTTTCTTATTTTCTGTGTAATATTGGCATGCTGGTGTAGTGAGACCAATGGCTACCCAATAAGATGACCCATGGGCCAGTTTAACGTATTCCATCAAGAAAGCAGGAACTTGGAGGTAGAACCCCACAACACACTCCCATCCCCCCAGAAAGTTCAGCCCTTCTAAGTTGCTCATTCTTCACTTCTACAATCTTCTCCCTAAATTTTTTCCCAGCTCTCCACTATCTCTCTTCCGCCTTTCCCCTGAAACCACAGATACAACTGAATTTCACATTTGAGCAAAAACTAGAGCTTAGCCACAGTTCTTTAGTCATAGAAATTAAAATCAGGAACAGTGTAATACAGAAATCTTTCAACATCTTCAAAGAGAGTGAATAGTTATTTTTAAATCTATCAAAACTTCGTGTTTTGTAGCTATTGATAAACTGAGTCTAAAAGTGATACAGAAAGGCAGAGGAACTAGAATAGCCAAAACCATGTTGAAAGAAGAAATAAAGTTAAAGGAATTACACTATCTGACTTCAAGACTTACCATAAATCTAGAGTAATCAAGATAGGATAGTATTAGCAAAAGGACAATCAGTCAATGGAAGAGAGTCCAGATACAGAGCTACACATATACTACAGTCAAAAGATTTTCAACAAGAGCTCAACAGCAACTCAATGGAGAAAGGAAAATCTTTTCCATATCTGGTGCTAGAATAAATAGGTGTTCAAACTCGGGGGAAAAAGCCTCAACCTCTATCTCACATCATATACAAAAGTTAATGCAGGAAGTATCATAAACACAAATGTAAGAGCTAAACCTACAAAGCTTCTAGAAGAAAACATAGAAGAAAATCTTCACAACCTTGGGTAGGCAATTTTTTTTTAGAGAGAACACTAAGTATTCACCATAAAGGGAAATGATAAATTGGGACTTTGTCAAAATTAAATGCTTTTGCTCATCAAAAGATACCTCAAGAAAATGAAAATATAAGTCAAAGTCCAGGAGAAAGTATTCACAACATATAAAGGTGACAAAGGATTTTTAACTAGAATGTATTAAGAACTCCTATAATGCAGTAATCAAAAAACAAACAACTCCAGCCAGCCCTGATGGCCTAGTGGTTAAAGTTCAGCACACTCTGCTTGGGCAGCCCAGGTTCAGTTCTCGGGCACAGAACCACACCACTTGCCTGTCAGTAGCCATGCAGTGGCAGTAGCTCACATAGAAGAACTTACAACTATACATGCAACTATGTACTAGGGCTTTGGGGAGGCAGGGCAAATCTTCACCTGCAAAAAAAAAAAAAAGCCATTTTTTTAAATAGACAAAAGACTTGAACAGACACTTCACTAAAGAAGGTATATGAGGGGCCAGCCCGGTGGCACAGCGGTTAAGTTCGCATGTTCCACTTCTCAGCAGCCTGGGGTTTGCTGGTTCAGATCCTGGGTGTGGACAGGGCACCACTTGTCAGGCCATGCTGAGGTAGGCATCCTACATGTAAAAAGTAGAGGAAGATGGGCACAGATGTTAGCTCAGGGCCAGGCTTCCTCAGCAAAAAAGAGGAGGACTGGCAGTAGTTAGCTCAGAGCTAATCTTCCTCAAAAAAAGAAGAGAAAAAAAGAAGGTATATGAATGTCCAATAAACACATAAAGAGGGGCTCAAGATAATTAGTTGTTAGGGAAATGCAAATTAACTGTAATAAGATATCACTGCAAATTCACTAGAATGGTTAAAATTTAAAAGATTGAAAACATCAAATGTTAGCAAGGATGTGGAGCAAACAGAACTTTCATCATTGCTGGTGGGAATGTAAAATGGTATAATGACTTTGGAAAACTGGAAGTTTCTTAGATAGTTAAATATACATCTAATCCTATGACTTAGCAATGCCATTTCTAGTGTTCATCCAAAGGCAACGAAAACATGTCCACAGAAAGCCTCGTACGAGAATGTTCAAAGCAGCTTTATTCATAATAGCAAAACCTGGAAACAATCCAGGTATCCATCAACAGAATAAACAAACTGTGGTATATTCATACAATGAAATACTATTCAATAACGAAAACTGGTGAAGTGCTAACAATAAGAATGAATCTCAAAACTTTATACTAAGTGTGAGAAGTCTGACACAAAACAGTATATATTATATAATTCCAGGTATATGAAGTTCTGTAGCAGAAAAAAACAAATTTATGATGAGATCAGAGTAGCGGTTACTTCTCAAAGTGGAGGGGATTGACTGGGAAAAGGTGTGAAGGAGCTTTATGGTTGATGGAAATATATCTATATCTTGATTATCTTGATGGGGCATGAGTTTTATAGGTATGTGCATTTGTTAAAAGTGGTTTAACTGGGGGCTGGCCCCGTGGCCGAGTGGTTAAGCTCGCGCGCTCCGCTGCAGGCGGC